GGGGGGGGTGAGGGGGGCGAAGGGTTGGGGAGAAGGGAGAAGGGGAGGGGGAGTGGGAATAAAGATGGTGATGATGGAGGAAATGGGAGATGGTGGTGATGAGGAAAGGAGAGATGGGGGTAATGATGGAGAGGGGATAGGGAGAGGATAGCGGAGAGGAGGGGATGAAGATAATGATAGTGGAGAGGAGAGAAGAAGATGATAATGATGGAGAGGAGAAAAGAAGAGGATGATGGTAGAAAAGAAATAGGAAGAGAATAATGTATAAGAGAGAAGGAGAGAATGATGGAGAGGGGAGAAATTGAGTCTGGTGAATTTAGATGGAGGAGAGGAGAGAATGACGGAGAGGCAAGGTCGAGATAGTAATAAAGAAGGGAGAGGGAGAAAATAAAAGAGAAGATAATAACAAGGGAAGATGGAAAGATTGGAGAAAGGAAACGATGATAATGCAGAAAGGAAAAGAATAAAATGATAACTGAATAAAGACAGAGAAGACAACGATGTGAAAAGAATAAACGTTAAAAGTAAGAGAAAATAGTGAACAAAAAGCGCGGATCAGTAACAAACACCATTTCCTTAATACGCCCCGGTTAAGTGGGTGACTCTAACCTGAAAGCATTAAGTAAATGATATGCTGTATCATGTTACTCAGCATACCCGCAGCATGTTGTAGAAAGGGATAAACAACAGCAAGGAAAATTATTTTTTTTCAACTTCTCCTTATCCCTTAAAAAAAAAAAAAAAAAAAATATTCTTATCCCCGTTTTATTTTTTATTTTTTTTTTTTTACGCTTTCAAACGGGACACAAAGATCAAATGAAGGAAAACGCTTATTTTTCGAAGGAAGAAGTGGGAAGAGGGAGGGACAGGGGGAGTAGGGGGGGAGAGAGGTGGGTGGGTAGATGGAGGTTGTAAAAAAATGTTATTTCTATCGGCGTCCATCACTCCATTGTCTCAAGAAAGTCTACGATATAATACGCCACATTCCGTCTGGCATCACATTTACCCAAGCCAAGTCGTACTGTCCCTGTCTCTCTCATTCTCCCTTTTCTCTCCCTCTACCTTTCCTTCTATGTTTCTTCTCCCCAGCTTCTCCCTCTCTCTTTCTCCTTCTCCCCTTCCCCTTCTCTCTCTCACTCTCTTTCTCCTCTCTCTTCCCTCTCATTCCTCCCTCCTCTTCCATCTCTCTCCTCCCAATCATTATACACTTACCCCCCACGACCCCCTTAAGCCCCTCCCCCTCCCCCCTCTAACCCCGCCCCCCCCTCCTCCCCCCCCCCAAACACCTGTTCACCCTTTCATTTTCTCCCTATCTATCTAAAGAAAATAGACAAAGGAGAGACAGTTGCGGAGAGGAGACAGTCTCGATATCTTCTCTTGCTTTATTTCGCCATTATGTGTTTTCCCTTCGTAATACTTATGATTCTTTTCTATTCTCCCCTTTCCCTCATTAAGCAAAAGCTAATTACACGATAATTACTGTATGGAAAACCGATTGCAGATTGGATATTCACCCCCTCTCGTAATAATGGGAATTGATAAGTACGTAAAAACAGTAAAAAATAAAGATAAAAGAGTAAATAAGAGAAGTAAGTGAAAAAGAAAAAAAATCGATAATAGTTATGATATTAAAAGTAATCTGTTATCTTCACTACAAATTCGAATCAATATCTTATTTCCATTTCATATTTTTCTTCCTTTTTTGACACATTTCCAAATTTACTATTTGCACCGGATGCCAGACGCAAGCACCGGTGGCAATAACAAATACGCAAGCCGGATGAGTGTCCCAATATGCGAAAATGTTCACATAAACAACAAAATTAAAAGATTTTTTTTACTGTTGTTTGTTTGTTTGTCTCTCCATTCGTGCATTCAGCAGGGACATATTGTATCATACAGATGAACTACACTCACATAGTTGAGCAAAACATGGTTATTCGAAATCAATTTTGACAAACAACAGGGTAAACCCACGCGTACATAAATTTACGAGCGCGGGCACACACACACACACTCACATACACACACACAGACACATACACACACACGCACACACGTACAGACGCATATATGAGCACAGACACACGCGCATACACACATAGCTGCATACATGAACACGTACTCACAAACGAACACACAAATAAGGATACAAACATGCACACGCACACACACACACACACATGCACGCACAGAGACAAATATAACAACAAAAAAGCATTTAAATACATACAGAGAGACACAGCAATAGCCAATCATTCACACACACACACACACACACACATGCACAATATAATATTCATGAGCACATGAATCACATATCCATTGCCCTTGAATCTATAACAAATGTTCTCCCAGTGAACACGGACGCAGCATGACAAGAGCATGCGACAGCATTCACGGAAAGTTAATAGATTCAAGTTCTATTTTTTGCGACGATTCCAATTTCTGTTCACGTGGGGAACAAAAAACGCTCACGCACTTGTTTTGATGTGTGGAAATGTGTCTCTGAATATGTCTTTTTGTACATACATAAATATATAGGCCTGAAATTCTACATATAGACACTAGACATACATACACACATACATACATATATATATATATATATATATATATATATATATATATATATATATATATATATATATATATATATATATATATATATATATATATATATATATATATATATATAATATATATATATATATATATATATATATATATATATATATATGTATATATATATATTATGTGTGTGTGTGTGTGTGTGTGTGTGTGTGTGTGTGTGTGTGTGTGTGTGTGTGTGTGTGTGTGTGTGTGTGTGTGTGTGTTATACGTATATATATATCCATATATCCATATCTATCTATCTACCTATCTATCTATATATACACATAAATGCAAACACCCACACATATGTGCGTACGCGTGCATGCGAGTGTACATACGTGTGTGTGTGTGTATGTCTTCTTCTTCTAGAGTTCTGTCCTACATGTTCCTTTTCGCTTCCACATAGCTACAGGTTGAGTGCCACTTCCCGGGATGTCTGCCATAAATACAAGGTCATTCATGGTGTTTTCCCGATGGCTTCCCTAAAAGTGTTTTATGGGGTCCCTTCTACCCTTATTTCCATTTATCCATAGGTTGGACCCCGACAGATGCTCCACTCTGGGTCTAAGTGGACCTGGGAGCGATGATGCCTAAGGGGGGACTCCAACCCCCCCCCCCCGAACTCTAGAACTCTCGTCACCGGGTGCGGTTTGTAGTCTTGCCTAGGACTATATATATGTATATATATATATATATATATATATATATATATATATATATATATATATATATATATATATATATAATATATATTTGTGTGTGTTGCTTGTTTGTGTGTGTGTGTTTGTTTGTGCATGTGTGTGTGTTGTGTGTGTGGTGTGTGTGTGTGTGTTGTTTGTGTGTGTTTGTTATGCATGTGTGTGTGTCTGTGTGTGTGTGTGTGTGTATTTGTGTGTGTGTGTGCGTGTGTATGCCCGTGTACGTGTAGGTACAGTACGTATGTGAATTCAGCAACTAAAAATAAAACTCAGCGCAAACAAAAAGCGAAAAAAAGTTAGTAGGTTAACAGAAATGCGAGTGAGATTCTTTCGAAGAGTTTTTGATTATGAATTCAAGTCGACAAAATTTTTTTTTCTGTTTCTTTTTTATTAAAATCTATTCTAAGAAAATAGATCTGAAATAAAGTTGAAACTGTTGTCCACTATCAAAAGGTCACGGAATTTGTTCATTCATAAAAACGACGAATCTGGAGATGAAGTGAATGGAGGTGGATAATCGAATTTACTAAATATAGGTAAAACTATAAACCCAATGATAGATGGATAGATTGTTAGATAGAGAGAGTGAGAAAAAGAGAGAAAGAGGGAGAGAGGAGAGGGAGAGGGAGAGGGAGAGAGAGGAGAGAGGGAGAGAGAGAAGAGAGAGAGAGAGAGAGGAGAGAGAGAGAGAGAGAGGAGAGAGAGAGAGAGAGAGAGAGAGAGAGAGAGAGAGAGAGAGAGAGAGAGAGAGAGAGAAGAGAGAAGAGAGAGAGAGAGAGAGAGAGACAGAGAGAATAAGAAAAAAGAAGAGAATGAAAAAAAGAGAAAGAGAGAGAGAGAAAAGGGACAGAATTTTACTTTAATCTATCACCTTAATTGAAGCAGCGACTCTTCTCATGCGGAATTCACAGGAAAAAAGGTCAGGCAGATAATTAAACCTTTTTTCAAGGGAATTCTCTGACGTCTTGAAAAATTTCTCGAGACTCGGAACACGTAATTTGAGTTCAAAAAGGACGTTTCTTTGATGTGAAAATCATGGCGATATTATCCGAGCTGAGTATCTGAGCTGTTTTAGAATGCAAAAAGGTAGCCTGGATATGTAGACACGTACGTACGCACACAGACACACGGACATGTAAGTGCATCCACGTGTAAGGGCACGTATAAACATACACACACGCTAACTCACGTACACATACGCACACTAAGATACATACACACAGGAGCACGCGTACACATTGACAAGCGCACACATACACACATTCTAACACACACACACACATGTACACACACACACACACACACACACCCACATGTACACACACACACACACACACACACACGATAGTGAAATGCCTCCCCGCAACCCCCAATTTCACCCCAACAAACACAAGGTTCCAAAAATAGCACAAAAATAGCCATCAAAAGGAACCGTAAAATCCAGTCGCAACAGATCTGAATTTCTATTTAAAAAAATCTCAGACGCTCGTAAGAATGATTCGAGTTTTCGATGAAGAAATGACGATTGAAGTTGGAGACATGAGAAAGGACTAAAAAAATCCCTCATTTGTAACGTTGATTTGTGTAAAAACAAATAAAACAATAAAAAAACAGCGTTCAAGAAATGCGAAAATGAACGGCTAAGAAGGAGGAGCTTCCCTGTCAACGGTTTTATAGGAAAATCACCTTTAGAGACTAAGGCGGGGCAGAGGACGGCGCTTTGCCATGGGAAGAAAGAGCCTCCGAGTCGCGTCAGATGGCGGTGACCACGTCCTCGAGACCCGCGCTGCCTCGGTGCTTTCCTCGAGACCGCGCGGTGCTGTTCCTCATCGCTGTTCTCGAGATCGCTGTTCCTCGAGACCCGCGTGCTGTTCCTCGAGACCCGCGCTGCCTCGGTGCTGTTCCTCGAGACCCGCGCTGCCTCGGTGCTGTTCCTCGAGATCGCTGCCTCGTGCTGTTCCTCGAGACCCGCGCTGCCTCGGTGCTGTTCCTCACTGCTCGAGACCGCGCGTGCTGTTCCTCGAGACTCGGTGCTGTTCCTCGGCTGCTGTTCCTCGAGACCCGCGCTGCCTCGGTGCTGTTCCTCGAGACCCGCGCTGCTCGGATTCCTCGAGACCCGCTGCCTCGGTGCTGTTCCTCGAACCCGCGCTGCCTTCCTCGAGACCCGCGCTGCCTCTGTCGAGACCCCGCTGCCTCTGCTGTTCCTCGAGACCCGCGCTGCCTCGTTGCTGTTCCTCGAGACCCGCGCGCCTCGGTGCTGTTTCCTCGAGACCCCGCTGCCTTGTGCTGTTCCTCGAGACTCGCGCTGCCTCGTGCTGTTCCTCGAGACCCGCGCTGCCTCGGTGCTGTTCCTCGAGACCCGCGCTGCCTCGGTGCTGTTCCTCGAGACCCGCGCTGCCTCGTGCTGTTCCTCGAGACCCGCGCTGCCTCGGTGCTGTCCTCGAGACTCCCGCTGCCTCGGTGCTGTTCCTCGAGACCCGCGCTGCCTTGGTGCTGTTCCTCGAGACCCCGCGCTGCCTCGTGCTGTTCTCGAGACCCGCGCTGCCTCGTGCTGTCCTCGAGACCCGCGCTGCCTCGGTGCTGTTCCTCGAGACCCGCGCTGCCTCGGTGCTGTTCCTCGAGACTCGCGTGCCTCGTGCTTCCTCGAGACCCGCGCTGCCTTGTGCTGTTCCTCGAGACCGCGCTGCCTCGGTGCTGTCCTCGAGACTCGCGCGCCTCGTGCTGTTCTCGAGACTGCCTCGTGCTGTTCCTCGAGACCCGCGCTCGTGCTGTTCCTCGAGACCGCGCTGCCTCGGTGCTGTTCCTCGCGCTGCCTCGGTGCTGTTCCTCGAGACCCGCGCTGCCGCTGTTCCTCGCGCTGCCCGGTGCTGTTCCTCGAGACCCGACCTCTGCCTCGTGCTGTTCCTCGAGACCCGCGCTGCCTCGGTGCTGTTCCTCGAGACCGCGCTGCCTCGGTGCTGTTCCTCGAGACCCGCGCTGCCTTGTGCCTCGAGACTCGCGCTGCCTCGGTGCTTCCTCGAGAGCCAAGTTCCATCGCGCGAGGTCGTGGCTCCTCTCGCGCTGTTCACGCTTGACATTTTCGGTTTCATAGATCGTGTTCGGATGCGGCGGCGCGGCCTCCCTTCGCCTTCCTCCGGTCACGTGAGAGCGCGCCGTCTCCCTTGCCACCCGATGCTGTGCCTGCGAATGCGACGATTATCGCTACGTCGTAGTGTGTGTGTGTGTGTGCGTGTATATGAATACATATGATACCTGTCTTGGCACCATAAGCACCGCTGTGTTCACTCGTGCCCTCAGGAGCTGCGGCAGTGGAACCTAAGCCCTCCGGAGCGTAGCGTGACCACAGCTGTAGGGCAGCCTTGTCAAGTTCACAACTTGCTTCCGATATGAGTAAGATGACCCGACTTGACCCACGAGCTCTACCTGCCACCGGAGACAGGGCAGTGCGTGGTCAATAGGTCGATGAAAGGCACAACCCAGCGGACGTTAACCCAGACAGAACCCCAATCCGAGAAACTTTATCTAAATCTCATATAAATGGTTTTAGAAATAACGAAACGTGGGTAAGTCGACGAACCAAAGGCCACAGGATAACCATTCCTGATCAATAAGTGCTCCAGATAACGGACCCTTTCTATAAAGAGAAGATGAATGAATTTCCCAAATGCCAATAAACCTGCAGGGCACAAATCGCCCCATACTTGACCGGCCAGGTTGCAAGATTAACTGCGGGTTGTGACGTAATAAAAGGCTGTGATGCTGTTATCTTCTTTAATTGGATTGCGTCGGAGGTGTGAAAGCCATGCACATGCGGACACATCTCACACTAGCCCCACACACACACACACACACACACACTCACACGCACACACACACCACACACACACTTCACACGCACACACACACACACACACACACACACACACACACACAACACACACACACACACACACACACACACACACACACACTTCACACACACACACACCACACACACACACACACACACTCACACGCTTCACACATCAACAAACACATATGTTCTCATACATACAAAATTTAAACATACTTACACTAACGCTCACACACAAACTCATTCTCTCACACAGACAGACATTCAAAAACACGTACATTTACACTGGCGCTCACACACGTACGCACACACATGCACTCACACGCTCTCTACATTAAACTGAGGTGATTATCTCTCCCTTGTCCCCAAAAACAAATTGGCACCCTCCCCACATCCCCCCCCCCCGCCCCCTCGTTCTCTTCCCCATCCTCTCCCTCCCCCTCCCCCCCCTTTCCACGTTCTCTATCAACAAACAATACTCTCCTCTCTCCCCCTCTCCTCCCCCCTCCCCCCCTCCCTCCCCTCTCCATCCTCTCTCTCCTTCCCCCCTCCTCCTCTTCTCCCTCCCCTCCTCCCCCTCCCTCCCCTCTTCTCTCTCCCCCTCTTCTCCCCCCCTCCCCTCCCCCCTCTCCTTCCCTCCCCCTCCCCCCCCCCCCCTTCTCCTCCCCTCCCCCTTTCTCTCTCCCCCCTCCCCCTCCCCTCCTCCCATCTTCTCTCTCCCTTCCCCTCCTCCCCTTCCCCCCCTTCCCTTCTTATGATGTCAGATGTGTTGAGGTTCATTAACAGCGGGGTGGGTGGGGGTGGGGTGGAGGGTAATCGAGGAGAGTGGAGGCAAGAAGGGGAGGGGGAGGGGGAAGGGGGACCTGTGTGATGTAACAGCGACAAGGTAAAAAAAAAAAAGAGAAAAAAAAATGTATACTGATCTGAGGCAAGGAAGTTCTTTTTGTTGTTTCTGTTGTTTCTGCTTTTGCATTTGAGTATTTTTTTTTTAAAACTGCGATGTTTTTGGAGTGGAAAATAATGTTGGATTAAATACCTGTTTTCCCCCCTCATTTCAGCTTATGTTTGTCGACTGATGTTTCTCTCCCTCCCCCTCCCCAGCCCCCAAGCCGACCTCTCTCTCTCTTCTTCTCTCTTTCCCTCTCTTTCTCCCTTCTTCTCTATCCACTTACTCTGTCTCCCCTCTCTCCCCTCCCACTCCCTCTCTCCCCCTCTCTTCTCCTCTTCTCTCTCTCCTATTCCTTCCCTCCTACCCTCTTCTTTCCCTTGATCACCCTTATCCTTCCTCCCTCCTCCTCGCCTATTTCCTCTTCCTTCCTTCCTCCTCCTCTCCCACTTCCCCTTCCTTCCTTCGTCCTCCTCCTCCTCCTGACCATTTCCATCTTCCTTCCTCCTCCTTTATCCTCCTGTCCCACTTCTCTCACCTCATCTTCCTTCTTCTTCCTCCTCCTCTCCCACTTCCTCTTCCTTCCTTCTTCCTCCACCTCTCTCAATTCCTCTTCCTTTCTCCCTCTCCCACTTCCTCTTCCTTTCCTTCCTCCTCCTTCTTCCTCTCTTCTGCCACTCCTCACTTTCCTCCTCCTCTTCCTCTTCCTTCGTTCTTCCTCCTCCTCCCCCACTCTTTCCTTCCTTCCTCCTCCACTCCCAATTCCTCTTCCTTCCTCCTCCTCCTCCCAATTCCTCTTCCTCCTCCTCCCTCTTCCTCCTCTTCTTCTCCTCCTCTCTGTCACTCTCATCCCGTCCATTAACTTTTTATCGAACATAAACTCAATTTATACCTCCATTCTCTCAGGATTTAAATTACTGTCATTAACACGCACACACCCAGGCTGACGAGGTTGTGAGGACTCGAGTGTTATGTCTACGAGTATGATCTGGAGTAGATATACTCTGTCTCCCCTCCCTCCCTCCCCCTCCCTCTCTCTTTCCCGCTCCACTCTCCCTCCCTCCCTCTCTCTCTTTCCCTCTCCCCTTTCCTCTTTGCCTTCCCTCCCTCCCTCTCCTCTCTCTTTCCCTCTCCCTTCATCTTTGCCTTCCCTCCCTTCTACCTCCTTCGCCCCTTCTACACCTCTGGAGTTACTCCTAGGAGGAAAAGAAAGATTGTGAGAAGAGATAGGATTATTGGGTTTTGTTGTTGTTGTTGTTTGTTTCCTTGTTCTTGTTAGCAATGTTATTTAGCGGTGTTGTTATTGTTAGTAAGGGTTATGATAACGATTATGATAATTATGATGATAATGATATCATTATTGTTGTTGTTATTGCTGTTATTGTTATCATTATTATGATATTATGTGATGATGATGACTATCATTATCATTACTATTATTCAAATATTGCTATTATTTTGTATTATTATTATAATATCATTACTATTATTATTATCATCATTATTTTATTACCATTTTCTCTTATTATCATTATTGCCATATTATCATGGTTATCATCAATATTATCCTCCTCCTCATTACTATTACGATTTTCATTATCATAATCATTATCATCATTCCTATAATTATTATCAGTATCATCATCATTAATGCCATCATCATTACTATTACTGTTATTATTGCTACTGTTGATAATAGCATCATTTTTATTGTTGGTATTGTTTTTTTAAGGATTATAATTTTTCTATTATCATCATTATTGTTATTACTGTAATCATTATCAGGATTGTTAGCATTGTTAGCATTATCATCATAGTAATGAAAAATAATAATAATAATAATAAAATAATAATAATAGTAATTATTATAATGATTATTATTGTTATCAGCTTTATCATCATGATTGTCTTTATCATTATCACTGTTATTATTGTTATCATTATTGTTATCGTCACTTTTATGATTAGCATGCGTATCACTGTTATTAACATCATCATTATCAACATTATTACTATCATTATCATTATTATCATTACTGTTATCAATGTTAACATTATCGTCACTGTTATATTTGTCATCATTTATCATCCTTACTGATATCATTGTTATTACTATGGATTGTATAATCTCACTCCTATTATAATATGTATTATATATTATATATACATAATATATATTAATATATATATATANAATATTTGTCTATTTCTCTCATAATTATACATTTATCTATCTGCCTATCCACATGATATGAATGTGTAGACAGATAGATAGACAGATATGCATTTAGTAATCTATGCGTGTCCGTATATATATATATATATATATATATATATATATCTATATATATATATATATAATATATATATATATATATATATATATATATATATATATATATGACTATTAATTGGGTTGTACACTTTAAATAAACCGGTTTAATGTTACTAATACTCTTTCAGATGCCATTGAGTAATTGTAGAAATACTAATTAATGGGTAATTAATGAGTAATTGTAGAAATACTAATTAATGGGTATTAATGGGTAATCTTAATAATATGCTATGTAGGAATAAAGAACTAATAATAGAAATAGTGCTTCACTTTAACAGCATCAAGTCTTAAAATTGTAAGGATGTTGTAATTGTAACTATGATGATAGTAATTAATATATATTAATATATATATTAATTATATATAATATTAATTATATATAACTATGATTATATAATTATATATTATTAACTATGATGATAGTAATTGTCTTGGCAATGGTATCTACATGTTTAATGATAGCATCAATAATGATGATTATGAACATGGCGCTGGTGATAACTGTAATTTTACCAATAATAGTTTACAGATGGATAGATAAATGGAGAAATAGATATAGATTGATAGATAGATTGATAGATAGATAGTTAGATAGATAGATAGATAGATAAAGATAGATAGATATAGATAGAGATAGACATAAATAGATAGATAGATAGAGATAGATAGATAGATAGAGTTAGATAGATATGGATAGATAGATATAGGTAGGATAGATAGATAGATATAGGTAAATGGATAGATAGATAGATATAGATAAATGGATAGATAGATAGATATAGGTAAATGGATAGATATAGATATATACATATATTGTATTCCTTTACCACCTTGTCAAGTGACCATATATTTTTTTTATACATTTCATATATTCTATAATACACTCTTGGCTTTATCGAGATCAACGTGATGTTGCTGATGTTGTCTTCTTTTGTTATTCGTCACTCCACAAAATATTATGAGTGCGAGTCTGCCAGTGTTGTGAGTTATGCTAATGAAGGTGCGAGTTTAAAAAGCACACGCTAACTTTTATCAATTCTCTTGCTTCCTCTTCATCTCCTCTTCCTTCTTTCTCTTTTCCTTCTACTTTTGTCCCTTTTCCTTCTACTTTTGTCCCTTTTCCTTCTACTTTTGTTTTCCCTTCCTTCTTGTTCTCTTCCTTCCTTCCTTTCCTTCCTCTCTCTTCTTATCCTGCCTCCTACCTTTCTCCTTTACTTCTGCTTCCCCGTTTACCATTTCTCTCTCCCTCCTCCCCTCCCTCTTCCATCCTTATCTTCCTTCCATTTCTACCCACTTCCCTCCCTCCCCCTCTTACGTTCTTCCCCATTTCTCCCTTTTCTCATCTCCCTTTCTAACCTCGCTTTTTCTCCTTCGTTTCTCATTTCCTCTTCCCCCTCCGCCTCCTTCCCATCTTCCATTTCTCACTCCCTCTTCCATCCTCCTCTTTCTCCTTCTTCCCTCCCTTTTCTCCGATCCTTTTCCCCCTTTCTCTCTTCTCCCCCTCCCTCTTTCCCTATTTTCCCCTCTTCCCTCTCCCCCTATCGTCCTCCCTTTCCTTCCTTCCCCCTTACCTCCCCACCTCTCTCCCTCCCTCCTCCCTCTCCTTCATCCCCATCTCCCCCCACCCCTTACCCTTCTTCTCCCTCCTCCTTCCCCTCTTTCAAACTTTCCCACCCCATCTTCCCCCTCTTACCTCCTTCATCCCCTCTCCTTCTCCTCTTCCATCTTATCCCCGTATCTCCCCCCCTCTTCCTCCTCTCCCCCTCTCCTTCTCTTTCTTCCATCTTCCTCCTCCTCCCCTCCCTGCTCCCCTCTCCTTCTCTTCTTCCACTCTCCCTGCTCCCCCTCTCCTTCTTCCGCTTCCATCTTCCCTTCTTCTTCCCCTCTTCCTCCTCTCCTCCTTCTCCCTTAACCCCCCCTGCAGTACGAACCGACGGCGACGGCTGGTCCTTCACCTGCCAACACGGCGCCGGCGAGTGCAAGGGCAACATGATTCACGCCTGCGCCAAGGACCACTTCAAGGACATCAACCTCGAGATGGAATTCGTCAACTGCCTTCTCTCGTCGACCTACCCACCCAACGCCGGCGCCACGGTAAGTACGGGGTCGACCTGTCTGCCTTATTTGGTCGGTCGGAGGCGGTTTCTCGTCGCGTTTCGGGGTGTTTGGCTAACGGTTTGTTTGTTTTTTGTTTGTTTTGTTTCTTTGGTTGTCTGGATTTATTTTTGTCTGTCTGTCTGTCTGCCTCACCCCGTAAGCGTATCCGTTTCTCTCTGTCTGTCTGTCTGTATGTCTGTCTGTCTGTCTGTCTGTCTGTCTGTCTGTCTGTCTGTCTGTCTCTCTCTCTCTCTCTCTCTCTCTCTCTCTTCTCTCTCTCTCTCTCTCTCCTCTCTCTCTCTCTCTCTCACTCTCTTTCTCTCTTTTTATGCTCTCATACATCGCAAGCTATTCAGCTGTATGTATGTATTCAATATTGTGCATTTGTGTGTGTGTATATATTATATATATATATATTATATATATATATATATATATATATATATATATATATATATATGTGTGTGTGTGTGTGTGTGTGTGTGTATATATATATATTATATATATATATTATATATATATATATAATATATATATATATATATATATATATATTATATAATATATATAGACAACACACACACACACACACACACACACACACACACACACCACAACACACACACACACACACACACACACATATATATATATATATATATATATATTATATATAATATATATTATATATATATTTTGCATACACAGTGTATATATGTATGTTTATATATGTCAATTCATATATTTCTTCTTTCTTTGCTTCTCTTAATCTAAATTTCAGGACAAGAAAATAACTTGTTCTAAAAATCAAGACCAATAAAGTGAACCATCAACGCTTAGGCATTAATAGGATGCTGAGTTATCAGTTGATTTGAATAGAGAGAAAAAGAATAAAGCTAATTGGACACATAGAGGGCTGTCTCCAGTGCCCTCTATGTGTCCAATTAGCTTTGTTGTTTTTGTTGTTTGTTTGTTGTTTGAAACAATTCCGACAATGATAACATGACACATTGCCACAAAGACACAACCGTGATGCATTCTCGAAGAGAAATTAAAGCATAATATCTCCAACATTGATAATAAGAAGCATGTTCCTAATAATAGACGAAATATTCTCAAAACATGAAAACGGAAGGAAACTGATAATAACGGAGAACATCCTCGCAATGCCATCAATTTTTTTTTTTTTTTTTTTTTTTTTTCTCCTCCACAGTGTGCAGCTCAGGTGGATGCCGACTGGGCGCCCCTCGAGCACTGCATCAACTCCGTGGAGGGAGAGAACCTCCTCCACCAGGTGGCTCTGCAGCAGGAACAGCTCAACCCTTCCCTCTACTTCGTTCCTTGGATCATCGTTAATGATGTAAGTTCATAAATCCTCGTCTGGGACTCTAAGGGCTTCGGTTACGAAAGAAAGAAAGGCTTATTAAAATTATTAAAATTCTAGAAATTAAGAAAGGATTCACGATCGTCTTTGTACATTAGGTGCTTGAGTGTCACATTTTCGACGTTTTGGACTTTGGTGTTTAGCGAAAGATGCGTTAAATCTTTGCAGAATGAATATCTAATGTCCTGGTATCTTGTTATAGTCGTTTTTAGAGGAAATGTAACCAAAGCTATCGATATTTTGTTTATTTCCTTCGTGCATTTGGTAGAGGGCTAGTGAAATATACCAAGATAATAGCTTATATAGCCGCACGCACACACACGACACACACACACACACACACACACACACCACACACACAACACACACACACACACACACACACACACACACACACACACACACACACACACACACACACTCACACACACACACACACACACACACACACACACACGCCAGACATCGAATACCAGACACCGAAATAACAAAAGCATCGGCGCTTTAACAACAGGTCTTCGCCATAAACCTTTAGAGACGAGTGTTGGCGATAGACGCAGAAGGACCAAACAGTCGTCTGTTCCCCCACAGGTGTTCAGCGAGGACCAGGTTGGAGAGTGCCAGACCAACCTGAAGAAGGTCGTCTGCGAGAAGTACACGGGGACCAAACCCGCCGAATGCGATGGCATCTTGGCTGCTGGAGGAGGATCACCGGCTTCAAGGCCCGTCACCCGAGCCTAAAGGAAACGCCCGGAAAAAAAAAAACCGCCTTCCTTCATTTCCAAAAAATGTAACATACAAAAAAAAAAAAAAAGTCCTAAGCAAAGCTGGTTAATTTCAAGACTCCTTACGTGTTAAGGGGTTGGGGTGGGGGGGAAGGGGGTAGGGGGGGAGGGTTAGGGGGAGTAACTAGTGCCGTTGCATTCTTCTGAGGATCCATATTGCAGTAACTCACGCAACCAGACAATCAACCATGCATGGTCATTATGCAGATTGCAAAAGTAAAAGACGTTGCAACAGGAAACGCAGTACGGATTCACTCCAAAATTTGCAATTAATGTTAGTAAACATAATTCATTGATTTGTGTTTAATAATAATAAATATATAATATAGAATGAAATAATCAGATCATGCATTACGACCAAGTCAAAAATAATAAATAATAAAAAAAAAAATAAAAAAAAAATAAATAATAATAATAAATAATAAATAATATAGTAAATAATAAATAATAATAATAAATAAATAAATAATAAAAATATAATAAAAAATAAATAAATAAGATAAAATAAATAAATAAATAAAACTTTTATTAAAATGGATACTCTTAGAGACATTATGAGTCGCATATAATAAATATAACGAAATGGTTTATTGATTGCTTTAGATTGTAGGTTTGTTCGCAAATGTATGTAGAGTTTATTATCATATATTAATAATAAGGATAGTAGTTGTAGTAGTAATAAAAGAGATAATTAGTAGTAGCAGGAGAAAAAAATAGTAATAACGATAATGATAATAATAATACAAGTGACAACAAAAAATGATAATGACTTACAGTAACAATAATAATGATAATGACAATAAAAATAATGATGAAAATAATCATGATAATAATAATAACAAAAATGATAACAGTAATAGTAATGATAATAACAATTGCAAGAACAACTGGCAGTGGTGATGATAATATACTACTACTACTACTAATGATAATATAAATGATACAAGTAGAATGCAAAAATGCTAATGATAATAACATTAACAATAATAATAATAATAAGATAATAATAATAACAGCAATAGTAATAACAATAATAATTGTACTAATGATGATAATGAAATAATATAAAGATTAATAATAATGGTCAAGAAGTATCAACAACAACAATAACAACAACAATAACGATTCTACCAATATTATGATAGAAGTGTTCAAATTTGATTAAAATTAAGTTAAAATAATATTAGGAAATATCAGTAGGTATCGTAATCATGATAATGATAATAATTGGAATAGTAATTAGAAAAATGATGTCATGCAAATGGGAATGATAATGATGATGATAATAACAATAATAATGATAATCATTAGAATGATAATGATGATAATAAGTAATATTAATAACAATAATTACACAAATAATATTAATAGCAATACTTATAAGAGTAATAAAGATAATCAGCAATAATGATAATTACAAGTAATAATGAAAATGAAGATAATGATAATAATGATAATAATAATAATAATAATAATAATATAATAATAATAACAATAATAATAATAACAATAATAACAACTACAATAATAACAACAGCAATAGTAATGGTAAAAACTAATGACATTAACATATAACGATAATAAAGATAATGATGAGGGGGATGAATATGATAATAACAAGAGCAGTAATAATATAGTAATAAACAACAACAACAAATAGTGATAATAAATATGATGATAAGGATAAAAGGAATGATAATGATAATAATGATAGAAACATTATAAATTATGATAGTAGCAGCGGTAGTAGTAATTGTAGTAGTCATAATAATCTTAATAATAAATATGATAATGATGATAATGATAACAATATTGATAATAATGATAATAATAATAGTATAATAATAAATAATATAATGTTTAATAATATAATATAATTAATATATAATAATAATAATAATAAATAATAATAATATAATAAATAATAATAATAATAATAATAATAATAATAATATATAATAATAATAAATAATAATAATAATAATAATAATAATAGTAAAAAGAAATATAGTAAAAAATAATAATAATGATAATGGTAATAATAATAGCAGTAAGGTAGTGATATTGATAATGTATATTGATAATGATGATACTATCATTAATGAAATCATCAAAGGAATAATAATGATAATGATGATATTAATATTAATAATAATAACAGTACTCACGACAGTGGTGATGATGATGATAATAATAATGATAATAATACAGCAATAATAAAATATCAGTTATTACTGATGAAAATAATGATTTTGGCAAAATAATAATATAGCTACTATTAACAACAACGACAACAATGATGATAATAATGATAATGAAAAAGATAATACTAATAATAATGATAATAACAATAATCATAATGATAACAATAATATGGCAATAAATATAACAAATGCATATACAAATAAGAAAGCGATAACAGAAACAACAGAAACAGAAAACAATAATAATGATATCAACAATAGTAAGTGTCACAACCACGATACAATATTAACAATTATAACAGTAAGACTAATAATGACAATAACAATGATGATAATGAAAATTATTATAATATTAACAATAACAATGATATTAATAATAATAATAACAATAATAATGATAATAATAATAATAATAATAATAATAATAATAATATAATAATAATTAATAATATAATAATAATAATATAATAATGATAATAATGATAATATCAATAATCATGAAAGTAAATATGATAATGAGAATGATGATTATAATGATAAAAATAATGATAATATAATTAATGGTAATAATAATAAAGTGATGATGACCATGGTAATAACAATGAAAATGATAATGAAAAAATAAAAATAATAGCAATAATGATAAAGATGATAATAACAACAATAACAATAATATTAAGGGTAATAAAAATAATATTAATGATAATAATAACTCTACTACTAGCTATGTGTACAACAATAACAATAAAAATGATAATGATATCAGCAATAATAACAAATGTAGAAATACTAATGATAATGATGACAATAACAGTAATATAAATAATGCTGATGATAGTAATAATCATAATAATAATGATAATGTTAACAATAACAGCGGTAATAACGATAATAATGATAATAACAGTAATAATAATACCAATATGAATAACAATAATATAATAATAATAATAATAATAATAATAATAATATAATAACAATAATAATAATAATAATAATAATAAATAACATTAATAATAATAATAAAATGATAATAAGATGAATGATGATCATGATGATGATGTTGATGATGATGATGATGATTGATGATGATGATGATGATGATGATGATGATGAATGATTGATGATGATGATGATGATGATGATGATGATGATGATGATGATAATAATAATAATAATACAATAATGATAATAATAATAATAATAATAATAATAATATTGATAATGATGATAATAACAATAGTAAATAAGAATGATAATAATGATGATAAGAATGATAATCATGATAAGCAATAATGATGATCATGTTAATGATAATGATAATGATAATAATGATAATAATTGATAATATTAATAACAGTGATAATATTAATAGCAATAATGATAAGAACTACAATACTACTACTACTTCTACTAATAATAATTGTAATAATGATAAAAATAAAAATGAAAACGATATTAATAACAACAATAACAGCAGCAACAACAATACTAAAAACTACTACTAATAATAACGATAATAACAATAATAACACTTAATAATAAACAATGATGGAAACAATGATCAATAGTAATAACAATAATTATTTAGA